CGCGGTCGGGACGGCCAGCTTGTACCGATAGAGGTTCTTGAATTTGAGCCACACCACGAGACCCCTCATGTCGAGGTCGGTCGCCTTGATGTGAAACCCGCTGGTATGGATTGAGTGTGGGTCCCCGAGTTTCCACCTGGTCACCGGATCGAGGTCTTCCCACTCGTCGTGGAGCCGTCTGCACCACTCATCGAACTGCCCGTCAGTGACGAGCGCCTCGTCCAGCCCGTAGTAGGCCATAGAAGCTACGGTCGCCATCTTGGCCACGAGGGAAAGGCTATGCGGCTCCTTTGCAGGTGTTGTCTCGGTCACCACACCACCTCCACCCCGAGGAAGTTCCCGATGGCAAACACGATGGTTATCCCAACGGCCCACCAGATGGCTCCCCACACTTGGGTCATCCATGCGGGACCTTTGGCCTGCTCTCGGTCTTGCAGTTCGAGGTCCTCAACGGCTTTGTCGAGGAGACCCAGCCTGCGGTTGATCTCGCTCTGTTGAGACTTGACGACCTCCAGCCCCGCGAAGAGCTGAAGGACCAGCTCGGGGTCGAGCTGCGGGGCGGGGACGGCTTCATTGGTCGGCATCTCGTCCCTCCTTGCTGTGGAGCTTCCTCTCGATGGCCTCTAGCCGGTTGATGGTGATACTGTGCTGCCGTTTGATCGTCGCGATGAGCTTCAGGAGCCCATCAAGGGGCGTACTCCGGCTTGTCGAACTCGGGGAGTGGCGCTTTGGTGCGGGATTTGCCATTGGTTCCTTCAGTCGCACCTTCCGGGTCCCCAAAGGGGTCTCCCATGATGATGCCGTTGTCCTTCAAAATTGCCCTGAGGGTTGCCATCTCGGCGGGGGACGCATATCCGCCCTCGACCGCAGCCACGAGCTTGGCCAGGAGGACCTTCCTCCCTCGGTGCATGAGGTCTCGGAGTTCGAGGTCCAGGAGGTCATCGTCCCCGGAGTTGTGGCCTGGAGTAGACCCATCCTGTGGCCCGTACTCTTCGTCCTTCACGCGGTCCCGCTCGTTGCCCGACTGGTGGTAGAGGTCGAAGAGGTTATCCCTGTCGTCGGGCTCATCGTGTCCGTGTGTCATGTGGTAGTTTCTTCCTGTAGAAAAGCCAGCCGAAGAGGACGACCCCGAGGAACATGATGATCCCCACGATGGGCCGCCCCATGTCCGTCAGACAAAGGAGGAGGTCCAGGTCGGCTTCGAGGCGCGGAGTGCCTGAGGCATCATACGCGATGTCGTGGAGCTGACAGCAATGCGCCCAGTCGCCTTCAGGGAACATGGTGCAGTGGTCCTGAGACATGGCGTCACCACGTCAAGGACAGACCCTCAAGCCAGGCGGCTTCGAGGTCGGACTGGGAGATGATCCCTTGGAAGACGGCCATCTGGAATAGTCCGTGATGGATGAAGAACTCGGTACCTGTCCTCCAGAGGACCTTGGCGAGGAGCTTGAAGTCCGCCTCAGCTTGGGTGGTCTCTGGTAGGCCCTCGATCATCACCTCGACGCTAGTGATGAACCCAGGGTTGTCCCGGTCGAGCTTATCCCTCATGTACTCGAAACGTACGCGGTCCAAGGGTCTTGTAAGTGGATCGACGGGTTCGGGTTCTGGCGCTTCGGGCGCAACCCACTCACCGTTTTCCCACGTATGCTGCGGCGATGGCGCCGGATCGCGGACAACAAGCTCGTCATCCAAAACAAGGGCCTCGCGCCCTGCCAGCTTGGCCTCAAACGCCTCGGCATACTGCTGGTCGCTGATTTCGATGCCGCCTTCGATTGGCGACTTGCTGATTGTCTCTCCGAGAGCGTAAGGCATCACACAACGTCCTTGTATTTGAGGAAGGCCACGAGGAACTGCCCCTTGGCGCGGGTGCGGTCGCCGGTCCTTCCAGAAGCACCTCCAATAACGGTAGGTGTGCCCCCACTAGTTGCGCCAGCAACCGAACCTGCCAGGCGGACGGCTGGCCCGCCTGCTGTTGTACCCAAATAGTTGACTAGTTCATGCCCGTGATCCTGCATCTGGTCATTGAACACATCGCCCGCCTTGGAGCGCTCCCCGGAGTACGTTACTCGTTCCTCGGTGTTGATAAGCGGGATCGTTGCGCCATTCATCGGGCTTTCGGCGTCATCGATTACGGCCGTTGCGACAAGCGTAGCCCCAGACCCAGTAATTGTCTCGCCGGTCAACTTGCCCTCGTTGTATTCGGAAGCGCCATCGAGGCCCGCCGTAAGCTCGATAAACCCGGCATCGGCGGGCGGGATTTCGACGCCGGTCAAGCTGGTGTTGACATAGATGACTTCACCTATGGTCTTGAGGCGCCATTTCGTTCGGGTCGTGGCGTTCGACCCGTCTTGGGCCAACACCTCCAAGTTCTCTCGGGCTTGGGTCTTCTCGGGATCACTTAGCGTCTGCTCAACGTCCCACCTCACGGCCCCCGCCGCGTTCTCTAGCCTATTGACCGCTTCGT